ACTCCTACCGTTGGCACATAACGATCATGTTAGTCGTGGAATGACGTTGAGAGTGGTTACTCGGACAACTCTTGGTAAGCAACGCTCGAAGAGGATAGGATAAAAAGTGTATCAATTAGGGGAGAAGATTGAGGATGGAGACTCATTTGTCCGTCATGTAGACTTTGAATTGGGGTTGACTAAACTTCGTCACACTCACAGCCACGCTTGCCATTGGAGAAGAATGCACTTTTGGTTTGGCGAATAAAAATGCAGTAAATGACGGCTAAATGTGTTACTCTAACACAGGAGAGACGATTAATGACATTTAGGAATAAATTTTCTTGCATCAACCTGCTACAACTGACATTGAAGTGTTCAGTTTGAAGTCACTTTGGGAATGGATGTGAGACGTCGTTTACAGAAGAGCTTTTACGAATGGTGACATCAAGGCCAAGGCTAGTCTTTATGCTCATGACATGATCCCTTTTTCGGTTTCATTTAACCTCTACATTCTGGTGGCGTGCAGGACAACAATGTTGCAATCCATCTCAACCAGAATGCAACTTCGCACTCCTCCGACCACTTTTACGAATCGGCTATCGCGAGTACGTTATTTGATGCTACGCAAAAACTGCGAAAGTACAGTAAAAGCGAGGTGAAATCCATCAACTAACCTTTTAACCTTCTTCAAGTCGGAGTGACGGTAGGGCACACCGGAAATGAGATCAGTGCATTTCGCCATCCGTGAATCTGATAAGGAGATGAATGCATACAGAAGGCATGATGAACGGCCAAGTGAACGGACTAACTGTGAGGTAGATGGACATACAAATGGATGGAAAGAAAATTGACTGACCCAAAGAGACAGATGCGCAGACTGATGTTTGAATGAATCCAGTGCGCTCACAGTGCGGTACCAAAGCATGGAGGCAATAGAAGATACCTATTACATACGTCGTCGTATACTACTAATAATGTTTTCAGCCACCTATACCGTATTGTATGCCTATGCGGTCAAACAAATTTTGTGTAACAGAACAGTAGCGTCAAAATTACTTTCTGCTCATAACTTTATTAGTCGCCAAGAGGGCTTACGTCATGAAGTTGTCAAATGACTCCCTTTCTCTCCTTTCAAGAATTTAACCACCTCTGAATCGTTATGCAACAACTCATTGTGATATTGCAGGGTGGAGGGACTTGGAGTCGCGCTCACAGGAATGTCCATCGAGAGGGTGAAAGTCGTTTTCGCCACAATGCTTACAACATCCATATGCCATCATGATTGAGTTCCTGCGTGCAACTGTATTTCGCGACAGGGTTTATTGTTACAACCGCTACACACCCCGTGGACAACAACACCACCTGACGTCACGATTGGGGAAAATCCCGTCTCGGCCTCTCAAAGGGCAGTCAGATGACTCAAAATTTCATCAGCTCAACGATTTACAAAGCAAAAACAAGTGGACGGAAGTGATATTATTAAAAAAAATTGGCGTCACCATGATTGCACAGAGATAGACAAGCAGACCCGATAGGTGTACGGGCATTGTCCAAGAGCTAAGGTAGGAGTGACGACTACAATAAGGAGTTGAAAGGAGTGAGCGAGTGACAGAGCCAGACAAGACGCACATACACAAGTATGACAACACTGAAGGGAGTTGATACACGGAAATAATGGACATTGTGGTGAAGGCTTAGAGGGGGGAACCGATAAGACAGTGGGGAGGGGTGGGGGAGAGGAAAAAGAGAGGTATGGGTGATAATATGCCTCGGATTTTGTCGATGCGATTTTAATATCTCGCTCCCTAATTGCTACAAATGCTCCGAGGCATTCACGCCTCTACCTTACTGATCGGATTGGGTGGGTGGATCTTACAATCTTGCACAGGCACACACAAACAAGCACGCAAGAATGAGCTATAAAATGAAAACAATTAAGGTGGCAGTTCACTGTCTAAGCAAAGTACATGACCCGCAATGTCTCCGGATGCACAGTTACAGCGCGCATCATGGCGGTGGGTGTGCGTTCATCCGAATTGCCGGACTTTTGGCTGCCTTCACCGCTGTCAATCTCCTTCTCCACGAGGTGGTAGCGAGCGCGGAAAGCCACCAGGTGGGCGTAGTAGGCAGGAGCGGGAATAGACACGGAACGGGTACAGCGCACGTAGGTGTGGCACAATTGGTAGGTCAGGTTCTGCAGGTCATCAGCCGAGAAGCTACAAATGTAAGAAAAAGGTGATTAAGCGATGCACCAAATAACAAAGACCATTAGACTGACAACTGAATGACTGAATGTGTAGGCGGAACAGAAGATCGAAAGCAAGTAATAGGAGCAAAAATGAATACTCTTGTGGATGGTCAGGTAAAAGGACGAACCAAAGGGTAGACGTCTGAACCACGATGGTACCACGACAGCTGGCAACGACGGAAGTGAATAAGCACTGGAAGCAGAGTGATACGTGAGCAAAAAATTGTTTATCTACGGCTAATGGACTAGTGAAATGAGCGGTTGAAGAGGGAAGAGATGTGAAGATCGACAGTTGATTGGGGGGGGTGGGGGGGGGGTAAATAGAGCTCCACAAAAAAGTAGATGAGTAAGCGAATTGGGGCAGGTGAAAAAGTCCAAAAGCGATAGTGCCAAAGGCATGCTTGTAGACTGTGGGATTAAACGTTAACAGGTGAAGAATGTTGAGTTGAAAGAAGGTCCACTCACTTGTTATCATCCCAGAGAACATGATAGTGACTAGGCCGCGAGGTGCCCTGAATGCCTGCATGCGAACAGAGGTAGAAATCGAACTCCGTAGGATGCGTGATCACGTGATCCACCGTTGTACCAGCGGGAATGTTGCCCGAACGACCCATCTGATCTTTTTTGTCGGCGCAAAAGAGGCGAGTGTGATGACGTTTCTGTACCACAACAAAAGTGATGCCAGGCTGGTATTCCAGCTCGAGCCTCACACAGGCCTCGCGGATCGCACGCAACTCGTGGTTCAGCACCTGCACAAGGGAACCAAAGGTCTGTGAGTGAATCTGGCAAGAAAGCGGACAGTTGTTTTGACCAGCCAAATCGGGTTAAAATCAAAGGGGAGTGGACGGAAGTGAAAGCCTAAATAACAGGACGAATGAAACAACAGAATCCAGAAAACACGTTAATGAGAGTTTACAAAATTAGATGCATAGATGGAACAGGAAAGCAAGCAGGTGAGGTTAAAAGCTGAAGAAGATGAGCATAAGGATGAACCAGGCATAGGTGCACGGTTAACGGTGGGGTCAGTGGCTAAACTCACATTTGAAAACTGCCCCTCACTAACTCCATCTCGGTAGTAGATGATTCTAGCAGGTTTGAACCTCGTCGACTGATAAAACTGCAGCAACAGACTTCGCACCATGGGATAGAGATCCTGAATGATCTCCTGACGATGGGACTGTACTCGCACTGTCGCAGAATACCTGCTCGGATGGGCATCCATGCTGGCCACAACAGCAGCGATGCTCGGCTTCGTCTTATCTCCGGCAGGCGGATGTGTCACATCAGCCCCAAAGAATATGACAGGTTCACGGAAGACTGTGGGGCGCACGCCAGGGACTAGGATGGAGTTGATGCCACCCAATTTGACGTTGATTTTAAGGCAGAGGTTGGAGAGGGTCTGAGGCGAAGTCTTGTTCACGTTTTTGGATTGTACACACTGGGTGGCGAGGCCGAACATGATGTCACCGACCCGTTTTACTTCGGCTAAAGAAATTCGAATTTGTTCATGGATTTGTTGAATTATACAGAGAGAACTTGGATTACTTTATCGGTAGTTAAAGTCGGCACCGCATGATGACCCTCTACATGGAATAGCTCATACGCCCAGATTACCCATTATTATTATTATTACTTAAACACGACAGAATCCAAGTTCATGCTCGTGAGTGCAATTTTACAACGTTTTCGTCACTATCTCCTCATGAAAAAACGCAATGAGCAAAACGAACTCACCATAGACCGGTGTCTTCCCAGGCAGGACAACGACGATAAGCTGGAGACCAACATGTTGATTTTTTAGGAAACGGAACATGGGTTCCACTTGGTCTTGTCCAGTGGCATATTTGCAGAAGGAGGGTGGACTTTGGATTGGCATTCCAGCATCATTGGAGATTTTCTGCAATTGTATGATAAATTGCCTACGAGAGACAAAAAAGATCACAGGTAGGTAAAAACCATCAGTCAAGAGTGGAAGTTGCAACCAGGCCACGTCCAATGCAGTGATGATGACAACAAATCACGTTAATTACAGGATTACCGATCTATCAATGAAGCATGTTAGCATCTAATAGGCATCACGGACCTGCGAAGGGTCGGGGAGCACACGCTGCACACACCTGAGGAGTCGAAAAACAGTGGTTGACTTTATTGCGACCTTAGAGGGGTTGTGAATGCGGTCAATAGGGGACTCAGACACCGCAAATAACGCCACGCAAAAAGCATTTACGCCAAAAAACTCACTTTCAGATAGCGGATGCAGAACTTAATCCCTTCGTTTACACAAACACACAAAACCTATCCACTCCTTAATGCTACCATTCGTGTTTAAATTGCACAGCCGTTTCTACACCGAATAAAGAAGACTTCTTACCACGCCGAGGTGCTACAAGTCTAAGCGATTTGCCAATCTGTAGTCATTTTACAGGCTCAGACGCGTCCAGTGTCAGATCCTTCAACTTAACGTGAGTGCACAATTCACGAAAGCAATGCGAAACAAAAAAGCTCTCGACTCAGCAAATTCGATAAGACGAGACAATTGAAATATCATCAGTAAACCCAAATAGTTGAACAAATGCGCTGGGTCTTACTACTGTTTTATCAAGCGCAACTTCAAATTGAAAAAGCACATAACCGAGAGACTTCTTTCGCTAGAGGGCAGATTCGTGTAGGTGAAAGGAATGATCTAGCCGATCTTTCGTAGGAATGTAAACGAACAGTGGAGCCCCAAAGTTGACAGACTTCAACATTGGAATGGAAGCAACCGCAAACCATAAGATTCCCATGGGGGCTCTTAACAAGCGATGTGAAATTCAAAAACTTGACCCACATAGTAGAAAACTCTAATTCTGCATCGAAACGATTGTAAGCTTATCTAATAGACAAATGAAAGGATGACGACGACTCGAAGAACTGGCAGAGGATGTCAAGTTTTATGAAAACACTGCCAATGATCTTCTTTCTCAATTTTTATGTCTTATAACAGATCAAATGTGAAAGTGAGAAGTTCTACCAGTGGAGTTAGCTCCAATTATCGTAAGAAATAGGATGAAACGCTTAAAAAAACTAGTTTAATAGTCATTTTCAATTCCGAAGTAAGAATCCAAGAGGATACAGTCAACACTGAGGCGGAGTTCGGAGCCCGACTACATCTCGACGGGAGAGGAGAGGGAGTTCGACCTCAGGACATTAAAAATTTGAGAATTTTGGGGTCATATCAGGGATTGATTTGGCCAGCTGGATTAGGGTGGACAACGCTGGTCACGTTTGAATGATTCACAATTCCGATGTCACACAAACCAGTTACGGGTGCGAGATTAAAAAGGTCACGATCAAACACTATCAAAGCAAAGCCAACCACCAAGATTCAAAACGGAGGTGACAAAATTAATGAGAAAAGCAATCACCTCCAACCAATATTTATCAGCGTTTTGCATCAATATATCCCCAGCATGTATTTCACACGACAGGAACTGAAATAATTACAACAGGGTCATCGCCATCTTTGATCTCGGGAGCAAACTGGAATTACGATGCAGACCTACACTAAACACGTAAACAAAACACGTAACCAAAATCACCACACCGATCTTCAACAGCATTTGACGTGTTTCGACAAATTTAGGTCACTGTAGCAAGTCTCCAAGGTGGTCATCTCTATAAAGTGCGGATTGTGGCTTCAAGAAATTCATACAATCAAGGATTCAAAAAGCAAATCAACTAAAAGGTCAGAAAACCCATAATTCAGAACAACTCTTGAGGAAGGCAAAGCTGAAACTCACTGCAAAGCATCCTCTCTTACAATTCTCTTTGGCGCAAAGCAGGCAATAGCCCAGGTTTTGATCTCGATACCCGAGAAGAACTGTTTCCCGCGCATGTCCCACACACCCAGCTGGGGTGAAGCTTGTGCCTTTGTGCGCCCGCCATACTGGATTTTGGGTGCTGGAATAACTCGGCCTTGAATATCCACCATGCGTGGAAATACGGTGATACCAAACATCTTGAGGTGCGGATCCCCACTGAAGTTCGCTCGCCGCACCAGATTATTTATCTCCTTCTCTCGATCGGGTGCCGATCGCGCCGTAGCCTTGATCATCGTGGAGGTCTGCATGTCTGTGAGCTTCTTGATGCAACGCTGCCCAGCAACCATGTTGCAGACCTCCAGCGGAAGATAGGTGTGTTTCTGTTCCTGACCGACTTGTAGACAGGGCAAATTGGGATAGCTAAGGTACCAGAAACGACAGTGTTGAAGCCATCGTCAACGTTAATTCACCAAATTACGACTGTCCACGTACTAAAGTGTGACCCTCACTCCAGCTCTGTGTAGCTTCGCCATTATTCTTCTAGCCATTTGTGTGCCATCTATTATCATGCAAAAGTCATGATTAAAAACACGTTAGGAACTACTGGATCTGTGTGATTTGTAACAAGTACTCGCGTTTCCTAGCCTATCATTAATGAAGCAATACCAGATTCGACCGAATCGAAAATAACCTTACAAAACTGTGCATAACGAACCAATCGAGCAAGAGAATGGAATGTAAACAATCGAATAAGATAAAAGCAAACTACGTCGGAATCGCCCAAAGATTCAAATTCAATAATAAAATGTTCTATATGCCAAGAATCCCACAGAAAACTCAGTCATTTAAAACGTACTAAAGCAGTGTAACAGTTGAAAGGAGATTGAGCAGACTGTGACTGCAAGACGTTACTTTGTTATTGAAAGGACGAAACAAAGTGACTAGCATAAACCACCACCCTGTCCTGGCAAATTATTTGATATTTTGTAAGTATTACATGAATAAGTCCATTAAAACCTATCTGTCTCAAATAAAATCTAATCAATAAAGCAAGGAACGACGCTCAATCTTACCTAGTGCCAGCCGCATAATACAACGAAGGCTTTACGATAAGAGCCAATTACAAACCAGAACTCACTTCAGGGCGATATTGTAACGGTCCTGGAAATATTTAGCAACCGTCGACTCAACTGTCGCGCCACTATCCAGCTGCAAAGGGAATGATTGTGATTGTGCGGAGCGCCGAGTGACATTGCACACACGATACTTTCGACGCATGCTACCACAGTGGGTTATTTCAACCTTTAGACCTGAAGAAAGTGATTAGCTGGATAAATGACCTTACCCTTAATTTCTTTGGTAAACTTAACCCTTTGACTGTCTGTAAGTGGCCTACGTTGGTCATTCTTGTCAGTGAGATCGAGGACCTCGCACATGAAGTCAATAACTGATTGAGATTTGTAAAACGCTGTGGCAGACACTGCAAGAAAACGCGCTCGTGTACTTTTTATTAACCTTATAAGGTCACAGCCACTTAAGAAACGCAAAAACAAACATAACTTACCGTCGATGTTAAGCATCATTTTCCACTGTGATGGTCTGACACTCTGATGAAAACCGAACCATACTTCACGTCCCCCACCCAGAGGGTTATCATAACCATGTTCCGGAGTTTGGAAAAAGGATCGACCTACAGGGGTGTAACTAGGAGAAAGCGAAATTAATGATACCAAAACAAATGCACCTCATGCTGGGCAGGTGTCTCATGATGACGTCAAGCGAGATAAGAGCGTCCGCTGGGATTCTTTTGGACTTTCCGCTTAATGCATCCCTAAGGGACTGAAAAGACACTTTCGAGAGATGTCGAATAGCGACTTTGAAGACGCGATCTCGACCCTCCCCGGGAAGGGTAACCTCCAGTTCCAAGGTTTCGTTACCAATAGGGAGGGGTTGTCTGGTGTACATATTGCGACGACCGTCAAAGACGGGTTTTTGATCTCGAAAGTAGTTAACGTAGTGCGATGACTTGACCATTGTCTCGATAATTTCCCTAGAAGTAAAAAATCGGTAAGTAAATTAGTACATTCAATCAAATTTCCTGCTCTAAAAGCATGTAAAAAACCTACCGATTAACTCGACGAGGACACTTCTCGGGACTGATGGCAACATCATAGTGCTCCAGGTCGTCGGCAGTAACGGTTATCTCAAAGTGATTAGCCTTCAGGTTGATAGCCCGACCTTCCGTTCCATGACTATTCCTTGCAGGAGGTTCAAAAATAAAGGGATGTTGAGCAGGAGGGGTGTTATTATGACGATCGTTGCCTCCAGCACGGCTACCACCATCACCACCACCAGAAGAACTGCCAGCACTGACACCACCAACCCCACTTCCTCCACCCAACCCTGGAGGATTACCTGAAGAGCCATCTCCTACTCCTCCAGGAGGCGGAGTGATTTCGTTACTACGAAGAACTAACGTATTTTCTGAGGGGTTGGACTCAATGGCAACCATATTGCTAGTGGAAGGGGAGGGAGTACCATTTTGCCCGCTACTGACCTCACTAGATTCAGTGGAGACGGAATTTGCAATTGAGGGGGAAACTTCAGAAGCGAAAAGGGAAAGTTCGCCATTGTTTTCTGCAAATTCAAGGGGTATGGAAGGTGCATTAAGATAAGCAAGCTAATGAGACATGCAAGAGTTCATCTTACCGTAATTTGGGGAAACGCCCTGAAGGGACATACCAAAAAGGTGTGTCGGAGGATTATATCCACTCCCCACGAAGTTGATCATCCTACCGGTACGTCAACCAAGGCGCGATTCAAATGGCGTTCAGCAGACAATACAAACAATGCATACCAGGGCTTAATACGTTCATGAAACGGAATTAAAGCTTCTTAATATTACTTGATTTTGCCTTTTAAACATTTTGCACAAAAATATAATTTTTTACAAAATATTTAAAGTACAATAGTTTACTTTTTTCAATATCAAAAACATCTTGTAACAATTTCAACCTATTTACTTCGCATGGAAGTTAATCTCTTTATTTTAGCAATGAGCCGCACAGGTAAGAGGAAAATCACTTTGATAGTGCTATTTGAGGCTATTTGAGGTAATTAAATGCATTAATCCAATTTGAGTTTAACGGAAAATTAGCCTGGTGCTCCAGTCCTTCCAACTTGATAAGGGAAGCTACAGAGGCTAACTTGTAAGTTGTACTTGTAGCGTCCCGAGGCTCTGTATTCCGAAAGCGACGGGCCAAATGGATCTGGGCATGGCCCGAAGGCCAGCCCTTGTTTGCAAAAGCCAGACAAATTCTAAAGTTACCGCCAAACGTTAGGTAGTCACACAAACAAACCATAACATAAGTGACCGCCAAACGTCATGTGGTCACATAAACTAAGTATTACTGTACTTGTATGCGGAAAGGGCAAATTGTGACCCTGGAGTTACCAAGTTCCAGCCCAAGATATCGTGAGCAAAATAACGGTGAGGATAATCGCTATCGTAGTACCTTGTTAGTGCTACTTTTAGTGTACCGAGACTTCCCATAGGGTGAAAGAAGGCAGTAAGTGAAGCTAGATACATGTCTTACGAAGACGACAGGGCAAATGGGTCTGAGCATGGCTCGAAGGCCAGCTCAAGTGTACAAGTGCCAGACAAATCCTAAAGTGACCACTAATCGTCAGGTAGTCACATAAACAAAGCATTCCACCACCACCTGTATAACTAGTAATCTTGCTTGAGGCTGTGTGGGCTGGAGATAGGGTCAAGCCAAAGTCTATCTTCCTCAACTCTACCCACTGCTTTCTTAGACCTAACGGGAAGCTTCGAGACGTTACAGCAGCTCATGCAGGCAGTCAAATGCATGCTTTATTATGACAAACTTTCCTCTGTTAAAGAAGTGTCATTTTATGTTTAAGGCCCAGGACACAGGCGCATTGATCATTTTGGATTGCTTGTCTCCCAATTTTGGTTATGGACACATGGTTAGCCAATTTTCCCCCGGGCTGGGTGATCTGACCTTTGGATTAGAACAACAGTTTTGAAACTTTCCCTTTTCTTTATGCATGCGTATGAATCTTGAGAATTACGTTTTTTTTTGTCTTCAGTCAGGTTTTGGGACACCAAAAAATTGCTGCCTTTTAAGTATCTCGTTCAAAAATCCAACTTTATTTGCGTATAGATGTTAAGTAGGTACTCATTTTCATATGTGCTGCTGATCTCGTTGAATGTAGTCATATCGTGGAGGCTCTTCTGCTGGTAACGGTGGAATTGTTGGTGCCGATGGGGCTACTTCTACCGGTCTACTTTGAAGTAGGGGATCTAGGGCTGGGTTGTAATTTGGATTGGTAGCAGTCAGCGGTCGCGAAGACGGTTGGTTGGACAGTGATGGCGATGCTACATCCATCTGACGAGGGTACGGTGACTAAAATGGTCAGTAAAATAAATGTTTTGAGCTTACGAATTAAGCAAATAATTTTTTCTTATCGAAGACTGCTCACATCTTTTAGTGCCTCAGCTGTCCGTGGATGGTAGGCGGCAGTATCAGATCGCGTCGCCATTACGCGCATGAAAATGGGCAGGTAGATGAGGAATATGAGGGCGCATACGGCACTCAGCACTAGTAACATGAGACCAATTGCCCACACAGCACGACTAAGAAAAGTCGGTTGGAGTTAATTAAAATTATACATCTCATGTGTCCAAAACGAGCAATAAATAGGGTCTGACATCTCAAGAATCCACTAAAAAAGAGTGGAAAATGGACACACAGTCCTCCTAATTGGGGGGACAGCTTCGGTTTTTTGCTTGATGTAACACCTAACTCAAGCATCCATGCGTGGTGGATGAGCGTGGTTGACAAGTTGAAGTGGCGGTTAGATACTGCGAGTTTGTGCATGGTAATGAAAAGGAATTTGCGATTTGCACCAGTGGGTGATTTTCTCCATAAATCATCCAACTTCCTGCCATCTAAGAGGTGCCAAAAACGACCCTTTAGCAGTGGCGAATGGTGATCAGCTAACTGTACTCCACAATCCACCCAACTTTGCTGCGAACGGGTTTTTTTTTTTTTGTTAAAATAGCAAAATGAATTGAGCATTGAAGACAGTTGCTTACCCTGCAGCCTCTTTGAAACAAATGGCAAGAGGCAATCCCACAATGAGGAACACAAGAGCCAAGATACCGAAAACAATAGTCCGAATTTTTAAGAATTTACGATACTCCGATCGTTTGATTTGATCCCGGTGGGATGGTCCAACCTCCATCTGCACGGTATCACGCAAGACTTTTGGCTCCTCCTCCACATCGTTATTAGTAGTATTGTTGAAGTAGTTTCCAGGTCTCATGACTCCGCGAGGCTCTGTGAGTACAGCCAAGGGGAAGGAGAAGAAGTAGCAATAAAATGAGCTACAAGAATTACACATTTGTAAATTCATGAGCTGTGTCCATTCGAGTTTTACTAACTCTCATTTATCCGCATTGCAAAGGAATATAGGAAGAGTTTTTTTACCTCCACAAAAGAGCAGACACAGGACACGACTCTGAGGGGTGACCGTTGAATTTCATTTGTAATGCAGTGCTTGCCGTTATTTATACATTCACCTCAGCGTTTGAGGGCAAGCCTGAGCATTGTCAATGCAGGTGAGGCGCGTGGTTTGCTTTGTTGATCGCACTGAGATGCGCATCATGCAGTTAGGGGGAGGACGCCATGGAAGGCGAGTGGTTAGGTGCCAATTGTGAGTCCACAGACGCCTTTGGAATGTCGGATGTTAAGACAGTGAATTGTCGGGATTCTAATTGTCCAATCTGAACGGCTAACTGTCCTCAAGGGATCACATTTTACGCCATCCATGTGTTATGCTGCTGAACTTTGGATTGTTGATTCGGGGAAGAGAGGATGCAAGTCGGCCTTATGAGAATGGATGGATTCACCACCACTGTAGCTCACCTTGGAGGCTTTGTCTACGTATTAGCGTCGCCTTGACCACTCCAAAAGTCTCTGATTTGGGAGACAAGAGACTACCAAGGCCGTCACAATCCTACGACACCACTAGTCATGGCGATATTAAAATTGACAATACTTAGTGCGAAATTGAAAGGTGCTCCAGCTTTTGGCCTCTACTACGACCTCCATACCATCACGATCAAAGTCGCGGAAACATTGTTTACAAAACATATATGAACCATCACACTATTTGACCTCAAAGGTCAGCAATGACTATGCCTTGGGACACAGCCAATCAGGCTTTACCTCCTTGACCTTTAATGATTAGTGTTCATATTTTGATACTCTTAAAAGCCTGGCACACTTGAATTTCAACTTCATGAACAGTTTTGCAAATCATTTTAATGGAACCGTTTGTTCGTTTTATGAGCCTTGAGAAGGAGACTCTCGACTAATTGACAAGGAAAGGCATAAAATGTGACGCTTTCCACTGAGGGGTTCCAATTTCTATGACTGCGTTCAACATTAAGCACATCACGAGATGTGGAGATGCTAAGGTGGAGTAGCTGTACATGCTGTAGTTACTTTTGGCATGCAGACTCAATTCCTCCTCTCTTCTCACTCGCCTGGGGCGAAGAGATAGAATTTTGCTGATGAAATGAAGGTTCGTTGTCAAAATATCTGCAAGGTGGTCTTCTTAAGGAGAAGATATGGTGAAGTGCTGTGACCAAGGAAGAGTTTCGGATTAAAGTATCGCACGCTGACCACGAGAACGTCATTGGTTTCGAGAAGAAGAAGGAGGAAGCATGTTTTGTCATTCTTAGAAGCTAATCTTACACAGCTGCAATGTGTGGAGTCGTCCCCTAGGCCGTCTTGTCGACCCAGGCGCATAAACCACTTGTGGTGGCGTTAACAAGCACTTAAAAGGCAAGCTGACTGCCAGAAGTAAGGAAAGATAAAAACTGAAATAGGAAGCGAAAAGGCAAAATAATCTCGTCACTCCAATGCCACCTCGTGTTCATTTTAGGCAATTGCATCAATCTTAGCCGCGAAGTGTAACGTGTCCCTTTCCATCAATTTTGGCAGCAGATGAGGAAATTATGCGACAACGATTAATGACAGCGAAAGCCATTCTGTAGGGAAACACCAAAGCTGTAAGGTCAAATGTGAAGGAAGTGTAGCTTAGTGAGTGCTGGAACTTACAATGAGCCAGAACGGTGTCAATAACATACTACTTACTAACCTACTGAAATGAATAAATAAGTATCTGTTTGTACCTAAGACGTGCTTATGCAATTAAATGGAGAACTAGACAAAGCTCCAAGTGACTACAGCAATAGCGGCTCATGTAAGAAGTGACTGCTGTTTTTGCGAGTCGAAATTCAAATCGTCTTTGAAATTCTACTTATTGTGTTTTAACAGGCTGTATGTAATCAAGCCTTGAGACACCGTGCTAAATCATGCCTGTTTCTTGAATTGTCCGCTTGATGGGTCATAGTCCGGCTTTACATGATGCAATTCAGTCAGAGTGGAGACAATTAATAACCTCTGCCAACTCTACGATATTGGACCTTTAGCTTAATTGTGCAAGTCGTCTCTCATATCGCCCTCGCAGCGACCTCCACTTAACCTTCTGGCCGGTACTTACCATTTTAAAGCCTTTTCGAAGGCGATTTTAGCTGCTACACGTCGTTATCGGTCTAGCGTAAGTGGTCCATCCAACGGTAGGGAAGAGTGGCAACTAGACCTTCGACAAACTCCACATTACATTTATACACTGGAGATTTCTTCTTTTAGTAATGGTAAAATCAAGAACAGGGAATGAAAGAATACTAGCGCTTACTTACGGATGTTTGATTAATGTAAGGTTGCCTTATGTGAGGCAAATTTAATGGTCATTAATCTGTTATCAGGCGGAAGTCCTTTGGTGTGATTAAGGCAGAAAATAAGCCAAGTATATGAGATGCATAAAATTCTTAATGCAATAATTTCACCGTTCAAGACACTTATATACAACAGTTTAAAAAACTTCCTCTTTTGCTAAATGTACGAAAAAAAATTCTCGATAAGACTGAGCTTTATAAGCTAAAGCCACAAATCCCTAAGAAGCAGAATCTCCATCAAACATTTTAAAAATCTTTGGACTGCATTTTAAGGCAGATTTTTATCGAAGAGCCCAACAAACCTGCTGCACCAATCCCCAAGTCACAAAATGTTTGCGCAGTCAATCATCATCTTTATAAACTTTTTCCATTTTTCATTAAATTGAAATGGCATTTTATTCGCGTTGAGGTGTTTATCCTACTAACTACTTCCCATGCATGCATTACCACTACAAAAAGGAAGGCGAGCGTCAGCCAATGACATCACAGCTAGCGCCTAAATTTTATCGATTTTTGGATAATTGCATCACCCTGCCTGGCTTATTGATTTCTCACCGATAAGTAATAATCACAGGTGGAATTTAGAAGGTCCTAATGCAAGCCTAGACACCTCAGTTAACGAAAGATTGACCATTCCTATTCTTCCGAAGGAATTGTGTGAAAATAGCGTCAACTCACAGATGCCGCATTGACCCTGACGACTGGGCTACGTCGACTCCACTAAGGCAGTGGTAGTAGAGAAGGGGGATAATTTTACAGCCAATCTACGCAGCCTAGATGCAACTGGTGTGTCTATGATAACTTGCTACATGGAAAAAGGGCGCGCTGTTTGCTAAGCTGGGCACGCCAAAAGGGGGATGGCTGCATTGATTGGTCGGATGGGCGGGGAGAGAGGGAGGGGCAGGGGGTATGGCAGAGCCTAGAAGGGTAGTGGCGTCGCCTCCAACTAACCATTGGTCCAGCCACTGTCTGATCTACTAATTGGTCAAAGCTTGTCTCAAATGCACCAGTTATTAAAGGGGAGAGCAGAACAATGATTAAGAAGGATTGTGCTGCCGAGTGGATTTGGGACTGATCTTGTTTCCGTTAGTGAGCAAAAAGTATTCCCTGCAATTACTAAAAGTACAATTTTTAAACCTCTATTTTCACTCTTTTTTAAGGAGGAGAAAGTCTCTCTCTTCAGCCTCAACTTTCCTCTTGACAGGTCTCTCAAGGGTTTGCTGCTTGAGAGAGGCTGCTTTTGACAAAGTTGTAAGGTGAGGCAAATTTGTCGAGCAATGAACGAAAAGGAAATGTCCAGCTCCACTTGTGACCCAAAGTGTCAAATAAAACAGCATTCTTGCGATTCAGTCCGAATATTCTCATTCCAAAGTAAGTTTATTCATCTCGATGAAGATGGTAAAAGAAAAAATCCGTCTTCCTCTCGTGTTTTTTTAAGGGAAAAAAAAACATTGACACATTCATAAAACATCAAATCGTGTTGGCATTGTGTGTAATTTGTTCAAATGTGCCGCATCGGTGAGAGATGGAAGGCTAATTTTAAAACGTCGTACTCAAGGAGCAACGAAACAAGCGTCTCAGACTGTTCGAGACACTTCACCAATATTTGACATTTTTTCTCACTAAGGTCTCATCGCTTTTGTTTAATGAGTCATTCAACAACTTATTCCGTGCCATTGAATGCCTTTTTCCTGCACCAATTTCCTCGGAAGGTCAAGGGAAGTTGGTGACCTTTTGAACACTCAGTGTGCATCTGATGACTTTAGCTAAAAAAAAACTAATATCACCTCTTTTACAAAGGCATTTAGATTTGTTCTTTTTTCTTGAGAATTTGTAGCGCCTAGCGTCAAAAAGGTGGTGGTGGGGGGTATTGCAGCATTGTTGGAGGCCTGGGAAAGGCGCCAAGAAGACGGATCCTAGGGACGCGCAATGGCAAGTCCTGAGTTGGCATGACAGCGGTGGTGGAGTGAGTGCAGTCGCAAATAACTGAACAGTAAGTGAGAGAGGAACGAGTTTTTTTTTTTGCATAACTTGCGCAGTTTAAATGCGCCTTGGCCGTAGGAGGTGCAGTTCACATTCGATGAGGTTGACCCCTCCTTGGGAGGGGTAAGCCCTTCCCTCTCCCCCTCCCCTCCGCCTTCTCTACTGTCCACTGTGAACCGACAACTGACGGGTCAAGCTATGCAGTCGTCGAGGCGACTCATGTCAGACCGAAATGGAAAGCAAAGACTGGGGTGTCAAAGGGAGGAGGTAGGTAAGTCCAAAACCAATTGACCTACTGACATAGCAACTACCGAACCCTCTTGATGTCCACGTGGATGAAGCCAACAACGAAGATGCTGCACCTTGCTGGCAGGTCTGCTCCAGCCTTTGCCCCTACAAAGAGTCGCGGAATGTTCAAGACTGTGAATCGCTTGATGAGGAGTGCCAGTTCAATGGGCCACAGCCTTGACAGTCATTCTGAGCTGAAGTTTGTGTATTTGTGAAGTTTAATTGTGCATTGTTTAGGCAAAAAAATAGTTATCAACTTTCGGTCAAAGCAAAAGTGCGACTAAAACGCACTTGGTGTTAAAGTTTT